TGACTGTGGGGGTTTGGCTTGCAGCAAATTGTAATTCTGTGTCAACTGATTTGATATATCCATGAGGACCAATTACCTGGTTCAAACATCAGAAGTAGGATGGAGTGTATTATCTCAGTAGCACACACCCTATTTCTGGGAGCTTGGGACCTCAGAGAATCTGTGACATCAGGATGGACATCTAGCTCATATACCTGAGCTTCTGTTTCCAGGTGGCGAAGATTATTGCGAGCATTCAGTCTGGTGCGAAAAATAAGTCCAGATATTCCCCCCAGTAATATTGTATTTACCCAGCCATAAGTGAGTTGGAGTATACTGAAATCAAGATGATTAGTTTTATAAAACATAGAGAACCTTGAAGGACCTTTTGCAAGACATGTATATGTGGTTATCCAGATCACTTTTTCTTGCATCAATGAATGAATAGTAGGAAATTTTGAGTGTGGTCATACAATTATTTTCCATTACTTGCAGCTATAAAAAATCAAAATCAAAAGAAATTTGTCATAAACTGACACTAAACATACACATATCACAACAAGAACTGCAACAACACTGGTGCAGGAACAATGAGATCAAGTTGGTAGCATGAGCATGAATGTGTCTCAAACTTTACCTAGTTACAAGTCCTGTTTCTATAATTTGCTGAAATCAGCAAGATTGATACCAGTTACAAGAAAGAAACATGCGAAGTGTCCATCTGATGAGTCTGTCCAGTAGCTTCACCGTGCTGACGAAATTGGATCAGACAAACTAAGCTTATGTTCAACAGATCCAAAATATACCTTTTCATAGCCTCCCTCCGTTCTCTCCAAAGTTTGAATACCAGAATTCCCGCAACAGCAACATCAACAAATGCACCCACTACAAAATTGGTAGTGAAAAGCCAATTCCATTGTAATTCAAACGTTGTTACTGAAACTGCCTCAATGACAAATCCCACAGCTGCATAGCTGGAGACGAAACGCAGGAAGCACAGAACCCATAGCACAAGGGGTATGTACAAAACATTCAAAAATCTGTAGATACGAAGGATATAAAAGGCCTTCTGAAATTATATCAATTCAGGGACATGCTTTTCATTGCCACTTACCTGAACTACTGCAGTCACTGGGGCTGCAAATGCAACTGTGAGATCCAATGGCAAAGGAAAGTTCGAGAGGATCTCTGGATGTCCATAAAAAGTTATCAGCATAATATAAACCCCGCTTGTGATACATATTGTGTGAGCCAATTCACAGATACTATGGAAATAGATTGAGGTACTGTTAATTGTTGATGCAAAGTGTGCTACTAGATGATGATACATACCACACAAATGCGACCTAGATATCAACTGAACTCAATGACGTTTCAATTGGCAAATGAACCACGTACCAAGATTTTGAGAAGAAACTTGTCCTTGGGATATCCTTTATAGTAGAGATACACTTGAACAATGAAGATGCCGAATAATAAGATCACAATGAATGATCCACAGAGCAGTGCGCCAAAGGTTAGATCAAGATCTGGTGAAGCAATTCCTGCTGTAGACATCATGGAAAGGAAATATACACCAGCACTATGAGGTCGTCGAAATTACAGCAATCAAACAATGGGCTTTTATATGTAGCCCATCTTGATCTCTACTTATTTTAGCCATAGAGTTGTGCACTGCAGCTCATCTCGTCTCCATCGGATGCACAAACTTCCACCAGAAACCATTCATTCACGATGTGGTAAGAAGTACAGTCAGTGGAGTGATTTGACCACAGCGTAACTGTTGATCAGTATATAATGATCATCTGTCAAAACACACCTTCGTAGCAGTGTCTACAATTGAGCCCAAAGCTATTTGTGATAACTAACAAGAATGTATAAGGTAAGTAAGTAGCGTTCTTGTCGGAAGTCCAGCGGATGTTGAATAGTGGCGAGTTGGAATGTTAATGTAGGTGATGTCCTTGAAATTCGGGGCTCCGAAGGGGTGTAAAAAGGTGTTGAGAGTTTTTTTGTGCAGTGTAACAGTCTTGTATTGTATACACAGGGAGGAAGAAAGCAGATTAAGGATTAAGAAACGTGCTAAGACATTCCATGAAGATTGATCTATGTTAATGCGTGAAGGGATCTTTTCTCAGTGATACGCATTGCGGGGGTATAGGCTGTTGGGTTGGTGAGATTATGGGAGGGCTTGGTGTGGTGATTGGCATAAAATTTGAAAATTTGAAAGTTTGGAAACAAATCCACATGTATTCAGCCTCACAGGCATCGTTGTGTTTCCTTGGACGGATAGCTCAGCTGTATACATCTGGATCAGAGGAAAGGCCTCCCACATAATCTTCACATCAGCATTCACTACTGTGCTTCATAGATGATGTTGTTTCATGGGATCAGATTGCTCATTTTCCTTTTCTCATCCCTTGCGTACAGTATATGGTCCAATTTAGTCTCAATAATGGCTCTTTTCTGTTGTTGTAGCAAAGCCAGTTCAATAATACATATATATTTTTTGAAGTTGTAGATGAGTGATCACTACACACTACTCTCAAAAACTTCAAGGTTCAACAAAGATAGAGATTATCTAGTCAATAAGAAACAACACCATCAGCAATGTAACCCATCTACATATTAACAGAACCTCAAGACACTAAGCAAGACTAAAACACATAACCACGATGACCAATATAAACTTTGAACAAGTGTAGAAGCGACTATAGCCGCGTTAGCATTAGTACCATTAGCCCCGCTACTCGACGACGTAGAAGCCGAGGGCAATGATGCTGGAGAAACCGACGAGTTTCCCGTAGTAATCGTTGTGGTGGCAGTAGCAAGGTAAGTTCGTATGTAGGCGATATCCCAGTAGGCGTTGTTATAAATGGGATTTCCAGTGCCGATGACGTTGTCGATCTGGATGAGAGAACAAGGCCAATGTAAGGAATTTAGCTGGGATAGGACACCAATAATTCAAGAAAAAAGAGACTTACACATTGTCCCGAACATCCCGTAGAGTTATAGATCGATGGAACGCCGGCCCTGGAAGAATAGAGTCAAGGATATGTGATACACATACAAAATGATGAGAAACCCGCGCACCACACGCCACAAAGAGTGATATCGATAATGAGCTGTTGAGGCTGGAAGTATTGCGTGATATTACAGGCGTTGGATAGATACGCGGCGGTAGGTGTACCCCAATCGGTCAGGTTCATGGTCGAGGAACTATTGGCTTGAGATATCGATGCCGGGAGACTCCCGCGCTACCGAAAGAAGTTCAATCCCAATTATTTCGAACATAGCACTAATAACTCACCGGCCAAAACCACATGTAAATCCCACTCACATCCAACTGCGTCGCAAACACACCTCCGCCAGCCTGCGCAAACCCACTTCCAAAACTGTTCGGTTTCTTCTCTTGTACCACACATCCTGCGCCCGTGGAGCAATTTGTTTGAAGAATGCTCCCTGATTGTATCGAGTTTGTGCCTAGGAAACATCCGGAGGTGGTGTGGAGGGCGTATTGGTTCGAATCGAGGTTGTTGATGGCTTCGATGATGTCAATTTCGCCGGAATTTGGCCAGAGGAGGTTGGTGCCGAGCATCCAGAATGAAGGCCAGACCTGTTAATGGGGAAGAATTAGATAAGGGTATCATCAACTGGATAGGATAAACACAACGTACGGAACAACCGTAGGGTATGTGCCAAACATCAATAACAACAAGACTACCGATGGGATATGCGTCCTTCGTAGTGATCTTTACCTACAGAAACAAGTGAGTACGATGTTCAACACAGACATTGAAAAAGGTAACGCACCGAATTCCTATTCACCGTCGCAGCTGCCGTTATATTTGTCGTATTATCCACCCGTATTATCGCATGACTGGTGTTTGGGTCGATGTAAGTCAGTCGCTGTGAAGCTCCAGTGCTTTGATCGACGTAGTCGACGTTACCTGTAAGCGAATGAAGATACGATACCCATAAGTACTGCGCCACAAAATGATCAAAGCCTAGTGACTCACCCCAAGTCGTATTATCGATATCTCCGTAATAATCCCACTCTGAAAAGAATTCGTTGCCAGAGTATTCACGAATTGGCGTGTATATTGCAGCGGAGAGCCGGAAGAGCCCAGGGAGAAGAAGAAGTGTGAAAGGGAGGAAGCGGAAGGTGCTAACTGACGCAGTTTTTGCCATACTCGGGTGACGGAATGACTAGAAGGAAGGCAAATATAAAATAGTGGACCATGAGGGTTTATCTAGAGTTGAGATAGGTCACAAATATGTTATTCTGTCCTGATCCCATCTTTTGGAGGCATACAGTCGATACTAGTTCGTGAGGTATCGATTGCATTGTAAGCACCGTTCTCGGTGGAGGTACGGTATTCGAAAGAGCATTCCACTCGAAGTCGCGACTCTGAGGAGCGTTGAATGAACATTTAGAGGCATGGTAAAAGCTGAGTAGAAGCATTTCGAGGAGAAGCGAGTCGGTTAAAACAAACCGAGGTGGGAGCGTGGGCAAGGCACCAAAGAGTCCGGTCACCTTTCTAAGCACCGTCCCGAAATTTCTCCCTCTTTCCCTCTTTCCAACCTTTCGATGTTTTGGGTCTCCAACTTCACAAGTAATTGCAACGCTTCCTCGATGGCCCTCGAATATACTGTACACTGACTTGTGATTCATTGGGCATCCGGAGTACTACCATCATCCGAGTCCACTCAGTTCCTGAACTTGAACCTCAGAAGATCTCGGAATTTGAATCAATCGATCCTCTTATCTCTTCCCGCCCTGGCCAACCTTCACAGCCGGCGAAACGCAAGCTCCTACACTGCGTGTTCTGCGGGGGAAGATTGCCCGAAGACAAAACAGTCGTTGAGTTGTTTTTCGAGCTGGAATTCACTATGAAATGCAGTACGTGTCTCACTCTTCGATTATCCTACTCTTACCGCTATCGATATGTTTCTTTCAGCTTGATTCAATAAATTCCCCTTTGCTTGGTACTGATAATCAAGCTCAGAGATTTCCATTCACGTCCAATGTGGTGTAGTGGCCAACATTGCTGTCTTTCATTAGGTTGCACAGCAGCCCGGGGTTCGATTCCCCGCATTGGAATCTCATCGGTTGCGTTCCTCGTCCTTTTTTTGTAAAGTCTTTAAAGCATCATAATACAATCTATGCATACCCCTCCCCTTTCTCCGACACTTACCTTACCAATCTCGTCCTTTCATACTGCAGAACAGTTCACAAAGGTCACCGGTTTGGTCAATCTACCGCGCAAAGCGATAACAATACACAAAGAGTGATCCAGAGACGTAGTGCTGGGTGATTGACAGGTGCTGAAGAAAAACTAAAGACTGAGCTACGCACCCTTGAGTCCTCGAGCTCGAGGCTCAAAACTATTCAAAAGCTCTTATCCCAATCCAACTCATTATAGTCTATTCCTTCATGCTTGATACCCTTCATTCACTCCAAGCTCAGACCGCTCCAAAATTTCCCGAGATACTGGCGATGTTAACGACACCTACCTATTCTATCACATCGACCTAGATTTTACTGCATGCACGTGTACTATTGAACCCACACTGTTCTCATTTTGTTTTTCATACACCGTTGGGAAGCCGAGACATTGACTATATTATGATGCGGCATTTTTCTAAGATGGAACAGCCTCGTCTTCGGATAGTTGGTTACAGCATTCGTCCATGAAATCTTATTCCCTTGCTGCTTTATTGCATTCTCATTGGTCAGGAAAGCTGGACTCTCCTTACACTCTGTCTCAAATTAAGTCCCAAGGATGTCAGTAATGCGTGGGAGGTTGGAACACGTGGTGGGTGTGCTTCCAGCCAAGTGACGCGCTATACCTACAACCTACATAACGTCTTAGAATGCTTCGGACTTTTTTTGATGAAGAGATTTTCAACTTTTCACCGCGGGTCTGGTTTTTCAATACCTTTCCTCTTAGAATCCGTATCCCAGCTCAACCGATCCTGATCTTGTGATTGTAAAAAGGAGGAAAGCGGCATCTCAGTCACAGTCACGTGCATCCTACATGAAAGGCTGGAACGAAGCGAATTTTTTTCTTTCTTCGCCCGGTGCGTTTTTCTCTGGCTTCATCGCATTGCTTCGACTTTGAAAGCTGGTCTTTCCATTGCGCTGCTAACCACAATCTCTATCTTCATATCAAACATCTCTTGTGCCGTCCGCAAACCTATACTCCCTACGCGATGCTCTATTCCATCTTTGTCATTCTCCCTTTGCTTGTTCAGAGTTTGCATGCATCTCCAATCAACAAGCTTACAGCTCGTGGGCCGTCTTTCTCACAGGCTTTCCCCCCTTCTATACCAAAAGGAGGTGTATGTTTCTTCACCCTGAACGATGTAAGTTCTCATATTTATCTTGCGGTCAGGTATTGATGTTGTCCAGGCGTCTATAACGAATCCAAAAAACTCAAAGTTGACAGGCGCGGATATACAGCTCCACGGGCGGAAGGAATTTGTGTGCGCCCTCAAAGCAGACCAGTCAGGGTTTGAAGGACCGTAAGTCGTTGTTACACTCATAAAAACGATCGACGAATCCATATGATGGTCCTCTCGTTCCTGATATCATAGCTCAAACCGACTGGTAACAGCCATTTTCCTTGTCCCGATTACTTTTTTGAATCTCACTTTCCTGGTCAAACAGTGTGTCCTTACGGCCGATGAACAGAAATTCAATGAACTTGAAAAGGTGTGAGAACTTCTTTTGCATTATATTTAGTACTAACTTGCACTCAGATTGAATCTGTAGAAGGTCAAACAAGTCTAACAACTGTAGTCGTTCATCCAGGAGACAAAATATGGATTTCTGCTGAAACTTTAGCGAGAGCGGACCTTTTTGCAATCAAATGTGTTTCGTCTGACGAAGGCAACAAAAGTGAATGGAAATTATTCGAATACATTTCGTATTTTACTAACCATTTTCTATGATATCGACAGTTTGTGATGCCAAATTGGAAATCTCGACGGAAAAATGGAATGTCGTTGAACAGATGCCATTGCTCGCGGACTTAACTCATTATACTCCGCCCCCCCGGAATTACACATTCTTTTGACTGATCCACTGATCGAGCATATGTCTGTAATACCAACGCTCCAAAGGTTCCGAAATTCGAGTCAATTGCAGGTCCTTTGTTTCAACTTTCAATGATACATTGTGATATTCTCAATTATATGAGTCCTTTCCAGCTCACCGTCCTCTAAGCGGTCAAAGTTTTTCCCATGCTTCTCAAGTCCCCGTAGATTAGTGGTTAGATCATCACGTTGTGGCGATTCAGCATATCCGTGGAGACCCAGGCTCGACTCCTGGCAGGGACACCTTTTTACTGTTCTTTCTGTTTGTTTTGAGTCCCTACAAAGTATTCCGCCTGAGCGACATGCCGCTATTTTCTCAACACTAAGTGGGTCGTTATATGATGTAACCAGGTTGGGACAGATATCCTTGGTTGGCGATGATAGGTTGCTGCTGCAGGTACGTCTCCATTGACATACTGAGAAGATTCGTCATCCTCAACAAATCTCTACCTACATTGCTGTTGAATACACTTCTCAGTGTTAGTCGCCCGCGAAGGCTCTTGACGCAGATGCTCCTGAAAACTCTAAGACTATTGCACAATTTTCAGCATTGCGACGGCGCTGAAGATTATAAGATACAATCAAATCGATGTCTTCAGGATTCGGTCATTTGGAGTTTTGAATTTGAGCAAACTTAATGCCCTTGCCACCCATCGCTTTTGCTTCACAATAGCAGATATTTTTCTCGGGGACTTCTTTGCAGATTACTCTCAAGCCCAAAAACAGTCACGATTTGATTTTCCATTGACAAAATGTTGTAAAACGATGTAGAGCAAGTAGTCCAATTCATATAGCTACGATATCAACTGTGGCTCCTTTGGAACGTAGGTCCCTCAGTAGCGGGTGATTGAGCATCTTCCTCGCTTGTTCATCAGATGCAGTGATAATCATGTTGAATGGTACTACTCCCGTGGCGTTTGAGCGGCGGATTCGGGAGTTGACACAAGCATACATCATGTCCATTATCTCAAAACCCACTGGAGGTATCGATAAGGATTGACTCCAGTAGAACTGCAATTTACGAAGGTCCGGAAAGGGAGGTATTTGGGCATCCGTTCCAGTGATTTCGGAAAGTACTAAATGAACAGACGAGAAAGAGTGATCACCTCTAATCGCAATACTTCGGAGTACAAGGGGATTCAGAAGGCCTTTCACGAATTTTCCCGCATCTCTCCCGACGATCAAATGTTCCAATTGGAACTTCGATCGCATTTCGAATCGTTTCACTGCTTCGCTGATAATTCCAGAGGCAATAACGGTAAGACGGATGATGAGTGCTGGACAAATAAGTGAGTCTAGAAGAACCATGAAAGCAGGATAAACCGCAAGCGGCTTCCTCTGTTCAAGGGAAAACCCCTCGAGTTTGTGAAGGTAGAGGACAAACTTTGATCTTTGAGGATTATCGCCAACCGAAAGACACAGAGTGTACGGAGATCTGGTAGCTGTGAAATAGCTTTTGGAAGCTTGCTGGACCGCTACTGCTGAAATTGAATGTTCTGTGATTTGGTGATAGAACGAGCTCGGCGGCATAATTTTAACAGAATTCGACTATGATCTACAAGTCGTCATAATGGGCGGAACGCAGCTGTGATCTGCATTGAACCGGGTCAGACCATAAAACCTCAGTCAAGGGTAACAAGCAAAAAAGAAGTCCACTCGAGTGGCAATTCAAACGTAGAAATTGTTTCTCGCTAGAATAGCTACCTGCCTTCCTTCAAACCCTCGCACTACCATTTCGAGTACAGGCTGCTCATATATCCAGAAATATCCGGGGAAAAACCACACTAATCTATGATCATCCGTCCCTTCCCTCGTTTTGCGTTCTTCATTTCAGCCCAAGCGCCATCTGCCGATGTACTTATTTTATAAGATACATATCTTAAAGCGGGTAGTTGAGCAGCTATCGCAGAAGAGTGATCACGAACACGATTAGTATTTGCACCGGCAGAAATCAAGGTGTAAAGAATTATTGCACACCTTTGTCAGTGACCAGTGTAGCCATGGCATTCGACTTCATTGTGGTACTTCGGTTAGATTTGGTGAGATTTTGGACAAGAGCAAGGTAAGGATATGCTTACGATAGAATGACATCTGGCTGTGTAGAAACAAAAGGTTGAGATGGTACAGAAAATCAGATGACCCGGCCAGCTTACTCTCACTCGCCCAAGGCTGAAAAGTCTCGAACTCGAGCTTCTTAAGCTTCTCTCGTCATTCACGCTGCGATGAGTAGAAGTCAATACTTGGAAACATTAGAAGGCTCGAAGAAGACTTACCTCACTCCTTTGCTTGGATCGAGTTCAAATTCTGTAAGATTGAAGAATAAGTCCAACGTGCTCGTAACCCGTTAGATGGAGGAAGGAGGGAGTAATGAGGAAGAAATACTTACCAACAACGGCAAAGTTATTGTCTTTGCACTTCCGGGGTGCGAACGAACCAATGCCCTGGTCGGGAAACATTAGCAGCTTTCCTAATCATGGTGAACATGGTGAGTCTTTGAGTCATCGAGGCAAAGCGCATGGCACTTACTGTTGCCCCATACGGATCGATACACATCTTTTAGACTTTCCCCCTGGGCAAACAAAGTGACTGTGGGTCCGCATGTGAAATAGTACAGCGTGATCGGTTTAGATAAGGTTTGAGGGGTTGAATTGGACGAAGGCTGGGATGCTCCTCTGGGTTCGCTCCTGGTGATGGACGTAGGCTGATGCGGACAAGGGCAGTCAGAGGAATCGATAATTTTGGTTCAATATATATATAACGACAACTTGCATGAGTCTCCAAGGACATTAACCCAGTACGGTTCTGGGATAGAGGGCTCGCCTCTGCGGCGGAGAGGGCCAAAAGCACGCAGAAGGATATGGCGCACACGAAACTTCCAGACAGCATATCGATTCTTCGAAGTACCTGATGGCGAAATGGACTTGAAAGATTTATTTGGACCTACAAATGACCAGAGCACGGTAAGGTAAGGACTAAACAACAGAGAAATTACTCACAAAGCGG